CGCAACCAGCGAACCATTGGCACAGATCGTCACCATGACAACGAGTGTGCGTTGGTCATGTTTGCCGTCTGTTCAGTAAAGCCCATAGCCCAGACGTGTCCCGTTCCGTGGAGTATTCTCTTGCTGCGATATCGGAACCTAATACCTTAAAACCCTACCCCCCCCCCCCCCCCCCAAAACCCTCTAAACCCCTAAACCCCTGACCATCGGTGTATTCCTTTGCCGTTGCAGTTGACTCACACCGTCAATTGGATGCTGCGCAAGGTGCCTTCTGGAACATTCTATTCGCTGAAGGGCAACATCACATTGCTGGTATGCGGATCAGCCGTTTGATGTGTGCTCCAAGTGTGGGTGTGGGTGTAGCCAAATTTCTGAGCACGCAGATATGCGAACTTGGGTAATAAAATGCATATGCATACATACATACATACATACATACATACATACATACATACATACATACATACATACATACATGCATACATACATATACACATACTACGTACATGGCACATATAAAGCTTTCCTTTCTATTCTGGACAACTTCACTCACTGTGTGTGTATTTCCTATCCGCTGCACAGGCGGGAGTGGTGGCCACCTCAGCGGCACCCACTGTGCGGGTACATTTCAAGGTGCCAGGACAGACACTCTCAGGAATATCTGTAAGTCTTCTATCTTTGGGTTGGTTTTCAAATCCAGGCATTCATAACACGCGTCGATTCGTTAGTAGTGAGTTAATATATGTTCCATTCAGATATGCAGCTTGTAGTGTCCAGACCGTGTAGTTGGTACTTTCATATGTTGCGGTGTTTGCTATCGAAGATGATTTGTCCCCTACCCAATACACCCCACATTCATTCATGTGGTTTATAAATAATTATACAAATAGAACTTGTCAAGATGCATCAGACTCCCTCGATTTTAAATTGCTGCACTCGGCTTTACGATGCGATGAACGCATGTGTCATGTCCATATGCGTACCCCTGCGTGATAGTAGCTGACCACCGTCCCGTTTCGTCCCGCTTTTCCCCGCGGCAGATCACTGGCCTAGAAGTCTACAACGAGAAATACAAACCATTCAAGGGAGTCAAATACATTGCCAGTGCTGGAAAATTCGTCGTGCGGAGTAGGTAGCCCGCCGCTATTTGACATACCATAAAAACCTTCCATTTTTAGTTCATCGGCCTTCCTAATTTGGTGTATACTGGATAAGAGCGTGTAGAGTTTGTAGTTGGTGCCTATGTAGGTACTATCGCTATGTGCAGTACAACTTACCATATATAGTTCTGTGGATTTCCTTATTAAGAGTATTCTGGTTAGGAGCGTGTGGAATTGGTGCTTATCGCAAGTATCGCAAGTACATGGTGATCAGACAGTACTCTGATATGTACCCACGCATCGGATACGCTTTGCACATAGCTTGTTGGAACTCTTCTCTCTCTATATATATATATTTATATATAAATATATATATGTATATATATGTATATATATCTATCTATCTATCTATATATCTATCTATCTATATATATTTCTATCTATCTATATATATGTGTGTGTGTGTGTGTGTGAATATGTATATATATCTATAAATATTCTATTATATATGCTACTATATATATATATATATATGTATATGTATATTAATAACAATATATATATTAATATTAATAATGATATATAATGCTGAATATCTACTGTATAATATATATGTATATATTTATATATGTGTGTATGTGTATATATGTGTGTGTATGTGTGCGTGTTGTGTATGTATGTATGTATATATATATATGTGTGTGTGTGTGTAGTATATATATATATATATATATACATATATATATATATATATGTATGTATGTATATATATATGTGTGTCTGTGTGTAGTAATT